AAGCTTTGGGGTTCAAACACCAGCCCCGCCAAGCTGTCTTCCGTGGTGAGCCTGAGAGAGTGACCAGGCTCTGTCTGTGATCAACCCCAAGATCTTTGTCCTGCTTCAGATCATCATGGTCTGCCTGGTGGCTATTTGCCATAGGAAAAGGTTGGCATTTTGGGGACTGTCGTGGTTGAAAACCAGCCAGAGGGCTCATTCACTCACTCCCCCCCTTCTTGCCCTCCCCCTACTCCCAGAGGGATGGAGAGGAGAATCGAAAAAAAATGCGACTCCCCCGGGTTGAGATAAGAACAGTTTAGTAACTAAGGTATAACACAAATCACTGCTGCTGCCACCAATAATAATAATGATAAGGGAATAACAAGGGAAGAGAATACAACACCTCACCACCAGCCGACTGATAACTCGCCCTCCCAACCCAACCAAGCACCAACCAATACCTCATCCAACCCCGCAGTCCCCAGCCCTTCTGGGTAACTCTCAGTTACATCCTGGGCATGACGTGCTGTGGTATGGAATACCTCTTTGGTCAGTTTGGGTCAGGTGTCCTATCTCTGCTTCCTCCTGGCTTCCCCTCCTCCCTGGCAGAGCATGAGGCTCACAAAGTCCTTGGCCAAACCAAAACATCATTGTTATCAGCTCTGTTCCCAGGCTGAAAGTCAAAACACAGCACTGCACCAGCTACCAAGGAGGAGAAAAATGACTGCTACTGCTGCACCCAAGACAGGGACTCACGATGAAGGAATTTGGCCAGCCCTAATGAAGGATTATAACTGTGAAGAAGGAAAAGCCAGAGGTCAGCTGAGCATTTTAATGTCCTTGATAAAGAGCCCACAATTTTCACATGTTGGGAAGCTGGGTAGTCTTTGGGCGAGGAAGACATTGGTATTCCAATGGGCAGACTTTGCTTTCCCAGCTGTCACGTAGGCTTTCAGGAGCAAGTTAGACTGTGGCCCTCAGCCAGAAAAGCACTTAGATGGCAGTACACCTCCTAGTCCATGGATCATCCTGCTGAATTTGTTAGGGCTCCATCTGCACTTCCAGGAAACAATGTGCACAGCTGGGCTGGGTCCAGCATCTCTCTCGTGTCCCCACTTGTGTAAAGCTCTTTCACATCCCTTGACGTCATATTAATATGCTGGATGGGCTATGGACACTGCCTGGGACTGCACCATTTGAGTCATAACCACACTTTTGAAAACAAATGAGTAGAGTATGCTTTTGCTTAAAGGTAAAAAGCACTGTTCTTTTGAGTTGTGAGAATATGAGCATCAGCAAGAGGAGAGCTGTGCCTACACACTGTTCCAGTGATAGTACGTGTACTCTTGTTTACTCCTTGAATAATAAGACTTTGAGCTCAAAATGCTGGAGGGGATCAGCACATAGCTTACAACAGCAGATGGAAGCAGAGGAAGACATGGTGTGTTACCTTTTTTGCTGTGGATGGATCCCAGAACCCCAAAGGTGGCATTGCAACAGCAGCTTGAGTGAGCATGACAAGTGGAAATACTGGGATAGAAGATCGTGTGGAGATGACAGAGACCAGCATAACTATCTAGCAGCAAAGGACTGCCAGGGATTAAGGCATGAAACATTGAATGTTGAGATGAGGGCATGCCTAACTCTGTGGTGCAGGGAGTATCTAAACATAGGAACAGAGGAAACTGAATAGCAGGCAAGAGAGCTGCACAGTGATCACTGGTGAGAAATGTGTGTGGCTGAGGGCTGAATGAAATTGTAGGAGACGCTGTTAATCAATGATGGCAGTCTGCGGATAATTTTCTGAGGATTTAACCCTCATATGGAAGATAAAACTGTTCTGTAAGTCAGTAGAAAAACTATTCCTGTAATTTGCTCAGAATATAACTGGAGAAGGCAACTGTGGTACAGGATTTAGTGATGCAGGATGCGCTGAGAATCCAAGAAGGAAGCCAGCCAAGACAGCAGAGTTTGCAGAGGAACATATGAGAGCATGATCCAGTGGGCCATGATGGCTCTGTGGACACTGCTGGAGTTGCCTGAGTGTGTAATGCACCAACAGGCACAAGCAGTGCACAGTGGAGTTACACCCTTGGGTGTATGTGTGCAAGAATGTGACATTCAACAGTGTTCAGTTCTGTCCTCTCTTACCAGAGAATTTGTGTCCCAGTCACAGATGTTTGTATGTGTGTGCAATTTAGAAGAGTGATTAAATTTTGCGGCTGAGGCTGTTAGCATCATTTAAAATAACAGAATCACACAAAAACACAGGAGGAGATAACTTCAGGAGGTCATGCAGACCACTCCTTGTCCTAAGGTAGGCTAATTGCACCAGTACCACTTCTGATGTGTTTGAATAATTTGTCCCTAAGGCTCTCCACCACTCAAAGCTCACGATACCCTTAGGCTTCACTCTCCCTACTGCTGGAAAGGCTGTGGGATTTTTGTTCATCACATCTGGGTTGCATATTTCTTCCTAGAATTTAAAACATGGTTGCAGGTGCTACTAGCCACATGTGAGCACCGAAAACCAAAAATACTCGCTATCATTTATGGACTGCTCCCTCACACTTGTAAAATAAGAGAACTGAGTTGAAGGCATCCCTGCCATGCAAGGGAAATCAGTAGGGAAACTGGGTTTATTCCAGTGGCACTGGGCTGACACAGAACCCACAGAAACCTGATTGAGGAGATCAGTGTGAAACAAATGAATAGTCTGAAACTTTGCATGGCTCAGCAGTTCTCTGCCAGATACGGGTGTCTGGGAGATGGCTGGTTGCAGCAATCCTCTAGAGGGGTTAAAGAATTGGGAGGAGGGAGGTGGCAACCAGAGGAATTACTCAAATTCAGGGGATCTGAACTCCAGACTATTAGCAGTTTAGGGGAAGAGAATGGGAGCAAAAATTCTTAATTGGTTGCTTTGGGAAGATGGGCTGTTTCTTGTCACAGTGGCAGAGAGCAGCCAGACTCAAAGGCAAATTCAGGAGCCTCAAGTAGTGCCCCCAGATCTGTGAGCTGGGTCCTATAAAAATGGTGTGGGACATCCATTTACCACACACAAGTGTGAGTAGATGTTGCTGTCATTTTGTTTTGCAGCACAGGATGGGGGAAGGTGAGTGTCCTGCCAGCAAGGGGAGGAGGTGGGAGGTTGTAAGGCTCTGTGTGTGTGTCATGGCTTCAGCTTCCCGAGGAAGCACTTTTCCTGGGGAGCGAAGGGCCGAGCTGAAGAAGGAGCATGGTGGGAACAGAGATCTACAGCGCTCCTGCCTTGGGGCTTCAGTGAAGTGTTAGAGACTCTGGCTGCTGGCAGGAGCTCACCAAGGAGAAGGAGGCAGGGAAATCATAAACCTGTTACTAACTCGCTTTCTTTTCTGCAACCCCTCCCCAGCACTAACCATGTTTGAAAATACAGCATCCAGGCTTCTTATGAAATGGCTTCAAAAAAACAATCTTACTTCTGTAGACACTTATTTTCCCAGCTCTATTTTTCCCTTGCTTTGAGTTTGCCATAGATGTTAATTAGGACTTCCACATCCTCCATAGCCTGGTGTTTTCCTTTGTAACTGAGAAGTGAAGGTGACCTTGCTTCCCAGGTGGATTTTCTCAGCTCTGGCAGTCTAATCATTAATGTCTTTGGAACAGAAGCAGGGATCTTACATGGGAAACTTGAGAAGAGCTATAAAAACATCACATAGACAGCTGTCAGTGTCAGCTGGCATAGCTCCAGTAATTCAGAAGTAGATATGTTTCAGAAGTCATCCTGTTCTCACACAGCAGTGGGTGTAATGGAGTGAAGGGATATTTTTACTGCATGGTAAGAATTTACAACAAATACCTATTTTTGCAGCTCAGTTGCATGTGGGTGAAGTGGGTCTACTGAGAGTAGTAACCAACATTTGGTAATCTCTATTTTATTATTCATAAAAAGTGAAGCAGTGACCAGAACACTAATCGTCACTGAATGATAGTTTACAGCATAGGGAAAGTTATTCTGGTGCCTTCATTCTACTCCCCACCCGTACAGTCATGAAATTGTAGAATCATACACCGTAAGTAGGAAGAGATTTCTGAAGGTCACGCATTCCAATTCCCTGCTCAAAGAAGGTCCAACCAGAGCAGGCTGCTCAGGGTCATGTCCAGTCAAGTTCTAAGTATCTCCAAAGATGCAGATGACACTACATCACTGGCAACCTCATCAATATTTGACCATCCTCATGACAAAAATCTACAGTGCACTTCCAACATGAGTGGCATATAGTGAACTGAAACCTAGGCAAGGAATAACTAATACCAGGCAGCACCAGAAGACCTGTGTTGGAAAGTATGCTTCAAGATGCTGTGGCTGGTCTCACTTTCATAAGTATCACATACACTAAGACTGAACAAGCATATAAACACAGGAGAACATTGTTTTTGCCCACAGTAGTATTTTTTTAGCAGAGTACTGTGAAAACATAATATTTTTAATTCCAGTATGTCATCTGTCACATGAATTAAAGAGTTTGACAACAGAGTCATCATGAAGCATTCACATTACAAAAGCAGATGTGGGTAGCAGAGCTGTACACAGCAGCCAGCTGCACTAGTACTAGGCTTGACTTCTAGAAAAGGCAAACTGGAAGCTGCTGCTGTCCACTTGCAAGCACAGAAGTGTCAGTGCTGTTTCTGACCCATTTGAACTGCACACTTCAACATTTCTACAATGGATTTCTAAACAGCCACATCCAATGGGGCCCTGATCCTTGCAGGTACTTCCGAACATTACTTAGGAATAACACACACAGCTTGCAGATTTGCCACTAGCAGCTGCCACAAGCTACTGAAGAAGGCGCATTATTAAAACTATACGAAACCAAAGCTGGGAATATAAATATCAAACAAGACGCTTACATGTTGCTGGACATGCTGCCTAACATCAGAAACACGAGACAACAGCAGAAAGCCATGCAACAACGTATTTTGGCAGAAGCGCGCAAACATTTCACAGCTTGTCCCCTGGATGCCATGCTCACACTTACATTAGTCTGTGTCATACTACCTTAACTTGTTTTAAGCATTTCCATCATCTGTGAGGTAGGGAGGGAAAAACAGAATAGTTAAGGTATAATCAAATGAGATCTTGCACATTGTAGTATAATTTGTAAACAATCTCATTACTGGCGGTAGTGTGGAGAGTGTGAATGGTTCAGGCTTCTGTCTCAGCTTATCTAGAAAGGGAACTTTCTGAAAGCCAGGTGACTGATTCAATGGGTTACTAAGGAGGCAGATGAAAAAACTAGGATTAACATAGGATAGATAGTGACAGAACATAAACAAACAAACACAAAAGCAAAGAAGTTTTGTGTCTTACTGCATTTTTTTCCTGTCATGACAGAATCAAAACTCCCAGTAACATCTTCTGATCAGCGGGCAATTCTAATCACTGTGTTAATCTAGCTACTTCCAAAATATTGGAATGAAGATGGAAAATCAAAAAGCAATCAACCATAAATGAGAACAATAAATTAGGTTAAAGATAAAGATACATCAGTTATCAAGTATGTACAGATCTACAGAAGTCTTTCTTCTAAATGAGAAATTATAGTAATAAAAAATAATGCATCTAAATCTTGCTGATCATCTTACTGATTGCTCATCACTTTTGAATATACTTCTGAAATCACAAGTACCATCCTTATATGCACAAACTCTCCTAATGGCTTAGATCTTAAGGGCAGCCATGCATTGTGCTTTTAATTATGCACCCACAGAAGACTGCTCCAGTGAGATCTTGTGCCCCTGATGCCCTGAGAAAGCCCAAGAGAACCTAGAGATACTTTGGATCTGAAAGGATTGTGAATTCACTGTACTTTGATAAGCGTATAAACCCTTTGTGTCTGATCAGGACAGATACTAAAAGTCACCTGTAAGTGAAGGATTTGTATCAAGAAAAAAATGTGTACTTGCACACCTTTATATTATACTACTGAACAGCTAAAATTCTGTAACAAGAATGGAAGAAACAAGAATCTTTCCTGAGGCAGTGGCAGAGTAATCAATTGGCCTAAACTTCTGCTGTTCGAAAGGAGCCTCAAAGGAGATGCCAAAATAGATAGCATTTGATACACTATCTTTAAGCAACCATTTCTTAACTAAGAACATAGCCCAACAGTTCCACTATTGCTTGAAACATGTTTAAAAAAAAAAATTGGAGAACTTTAAAGTAGATTTGACATAGAAATCACAAATAGCCATAATAACACCTGAGTTGCATTTTCTAGCTGGGTCTAATTCAGATGAACTGTAAAATACAGAAGAGAAATTAGACACAGTACCTGGAAATATGTAAATGTGCTGATTAAATGATTGGCACGTCCTTGGTGAAAATGATCAATATATTAACTTTTCTAAAGATTCACAGTAGGCAGTAAGAAAAGTCTCTGTATGTCTCTGTGTGTATACACATATATATGTTTAAATAATTTGCTGGATTCCTATCATTCTTGGAAGTTGTGACTGTTTGTATGCTGGTACTTCAATGCCTCCATTGGCTTTCCTTCTACCATTATTTCAGCAATGAAACATGGAAAAAACAGAGGTGCTGAGGGATATGCACACTGGTTGAGTAGCTGTCTCATTTATACTGCTGGAAAAAATGAGGTAAAATAGCTTATTGAACAAATGGTTTTGTCATCATTTAACTTTTCTCCTGTTTTATTTTGATCCTTCTGCATTGTAAGAGAAATCAGAATTTGTAGTAATGTAATCGTGCATGCCCCTCTACCTCCTGCCTGCATATCCTGGTTAAATAGAACTGATGCTGTTTCATGCAGATTAGGCAACAGCCATTACAATTCAGCAGCATTACACCGGTTGGATATACTTGGGAAATATCCAAGGAAAACCCAGACCCTATTAAAACACTGATGAAGGCTCCTATGCTCCCTGTCTGCCTTTCCCCAGACACATGAGCTTTCCCCAGGATCACCAGAGGATGTCCCTGCCTATCCTGCTCCATGGGACACACCAGACGTGCAGCCACCAAGGGACATGGGATGTGTAGTCCCACCCCTGGGATGCTGTGGAGAAGACCCAGGGGAGCTTGAGCACTTATTGCCAGTCCCAACAGCCTTGGTTTAGGCTTACCATTCCCATGGAGATGAAGGGTTAATTATCACCCAGTCAATGTAAAACATGCATAAGTAGAGCCAACCTCACTGCTCAAGCTTCCTGGGCAATCTGGTTGTCCCAGGCAACATCTCCTCTCCACAGGAAACTTTTCTGCCACCATTTTAGTTAGGTCAAGGACTGTTTCCCCTCCATATGTACGTAAGTATCATGTAGCCACAGCAGGAATAACTTCTGGCCCTTAACTGGAAAACAAACAATGTTTTCTCTTGTCCTTCCTGAGTTCCTCCTTGGCATCTTTCATCAAGCTACATACCTTTCACCAAGCCTTACTTTCTGCATCTGTCTATACCCCAAAACATACAACCTGCTATATACTTTCTAAGCAGGTTAAGTGTATATAGCTGGTGGCTGTCTCCTGAACAAGATCTGTCATGGGCATGACAGCACTTTGTAGTGAATTGGGAAGATCAATTCCCAGCCTCTTTTCTTCAATAGACTGTGACAATGTGCATGAAATATTGGCAGACCTGGGGCAGTCTGGGGCTGTCCCCATATCCATGTTTCAGTGGGATCAGGAGAATGTTTCTGAGATGAATTTCTCATTTAGTGTGCTTGTTCCAGCTAATAATGGACACCTGTAGGGCCAAGCAGGAACTTGGCTGGAATAACATCCTCCCTCCACCGCGCTGCTGGAACAGACATCAGGTCCCCAGGACAAGTTATTTCACCCCACAGCACTATTCCTGCTGCTAATGTAGACATTGCCTGAGAGAATGCTGCTGACTTGATTGATCCTGTTTGAATCTCTGTGATTGTATCAGCAAAGCTGATAGATCTGGCTGCAAGTGGCATTTACTCCACCATATTATTTGGCATATAAATCAGCTGTCTGGGGCAGTGGTAACTGTTTTGTTACCACTGTGAATTTAGAAAAAATCTATTAAAGTCAATGAAGAAAGTACATATTTACAGTGGAATAACTGATGTGAGGACTTGACTGTTTTTATTTAGATGTGTAGAGGTAGTTTAAAGAGATTCTTGTCTTTTTGGATCCTTGAATTTAGGACTTAGGAAAAAGTAATCAGATTTGTTATAAATCCTTTCTTCCAAAGTATTTTATACATGGGTGAATTATGCACTTGGTTACACAGCTGTAAATCTGCATATTGCTGTTTTTACCCAGTAACAAAATATTCTTTTAGATTTTTTATTGGTTGCAGTAAAATTCTCCATTATGTGTATCGCAACTAGTAATTTTCATCTAGAAATATTGATGACTTCTTGCTTATGGGAATGAACAGATTTCGATACAACACTAAAGCATGCCCTGTCTTCTCAGTTAGTCTCCATTGACTAAACGTGCAGACTATTTACAAAAAACCTAATGTAATGGAAAGGAAGAATAACTAATGCAATGGCTGTATTCCCTGGATCACATGCAATTCATCTTTACTAAGCTAGCTGAGCCTCTATAATCTCAAAGCATTTATGAAATAATAGGGAGAAAGCTTTAGGTTAAGCATATTTAGTACAGAAAGTATTTGCTTAATTTGTTTCTTAAGATGAAATTCTCCTATTCCTGAGGGAAAAGCAAAGTGCTTTATGAGTTACAGCCACAGACATCCTGCAGTGAGATGTAAGAAGCCTTGTGAGAGCACTGTTGGAAACAATCTTTATGATGCTGAGATTTCGTAGCTTATAATTAAACATCACAGACCAGACCCTCTAACCCGTATCATCCTTACATGCCCTATTTTACACATCAGAGCAATTAGTGAAGTCTATATTATATATTTAGATGAAGGCTTTCTGTCAGGGGCTGGTGATGTAGTGACTCAGCAAAGCATTATCAGAAGGCATTTGCTAGTGCTAAGGTTTTGTACACCTTTGTAGGGGCTAGACTTTTCAAATTAATACAGGGGGCTATTTTTGTAGCATCCAGAAAGTTTCTGCTGTACATCAAACTGCACTAGCTGCTTATTTTAGATGACAGCAATTCATACATTTGTCTTGAACAATACAGTCTTTAGCACTTTTTGGGCATGTACATCTACTAAAAAAGAAACTTGCCTTTGAAGCATTTTGTAGAAGAAGGGCTTCCAAATTGATGTCATCAGAGACATTTTTGTCAGGTGCTTCAAACATACTAGTGAATTAACAGCTCATGTACCAAAGATAAGCAGCAGTCTCAGTGACAGGCTGCCTGGCTATCAAGGAGTACTCTGAGGGTGTGATTTGGGACAACATGAACACCTGGATTTGTGCCCTGCTCTCTTCTGCTGAGCTGGGGTTCAGCCCCTGGCAGTGCTGAGTGCCTCTTAGAATCATAGAATAGGTAGGGTTGGAAAGGACCTTAAGATAATCAAGTTCCAACCCCCCTGCCATGGGTAGGGACACCTCACACTAAATTATATCACCCAAGGCCTTGTCCAACCTGGTCTTGAATGCTGCCAGGGATGGAGCATTCACAACCTCCCTGGGCAACCCATTCCAGTGCCTCACCACCCTAACAGGAAAGAATTTCCTCCTTATATCCAATCTAAGGATAATAATCTTGAAATGAGTCTGTCCTCTTCAGCCTATCTGTTCTTTCATTAATTGGCTTATTTTTATTCCCAGCAACAGAAATCTCACCCTCCTTCCCATCCATACAGTTGTTTTCATTCTTGAAAACAACACTGCCAGAAAGCTGACATTTTACCTGTGGGCAGTGATGCTGGATCCCATGATTTTGACATGAAAAGTTTACTGCTAGCACAAGGGCTGTGCTTTACTTTCTCTTGCCTGCCCTTATATCTGCCCACAGTGTTTGGAGAGTTAGTCTGAGCCCATGAACTGAGCATTTTGCCATTGTGTCTCCTTTATGTCCCTGAGCTGATGGGGCAAATCCTGACTGTGAATGTGTGAAGCAGTGGAAGACACTCGTGAAATCCCAGCTGTGTCCCCAAGGTGAGAA